TATTAGTCAATGTCCTAATGTGCAGGAACTCACTGATTCTAACAAGCTAGCAGAGAACCACAGGCATAGAATGATGATAAACAGCCCCAATACATATGTAAACATTTGTTTTAAAACTATTAACTATGACAGTATCAGAGAGGACACACACACACACACACACACACACACACACACACACACACACACCCCTTATTTCTCAACAGGCTAACTGAAGCTTTCAGGAAGTCCATCAAATAATCTCTCATCTCCTAAAAGACAAGTCCTTTAAGGTCAACATTTTATTAGCCTGTCAGCTATTAGAATTTCTGTAGAAAGCTTCAGAAACCACAGATGGGACCTCAGACCCCTCAGGCTTAGCAGTTGGATACTGTCTTCTGAGATCAGGAGGGAAACCAATGAAGAGGAAAAACAATGCGAAAGGAACCCAGATGACCGTACTTGCCCCTGATGGCACTTTTGGCTAGACCAATACACCAAAGAATCCTTATAGTAAGGCCCTATGTCATGCCTGCTTCAAGTGCAAAAGCCCAGCCATTAGAAATGTTACTAAAGCAACATCTCCTTTCCCTGTGGTCATGTCCGACATGTAAGGACCCAAGGGCCTGCCACCAGAAGGTAGACTGGACAGTCTCAAAGTAGGAAGGGGCTAATCCCCAACATCATGGCCACCTTGTAGAACTGAGGGTGCCAGGGGACAGGCTGGATCCAGTTCCTGACATATCCAACTCTGCTGAAGCGGCTCAGGATGCCATGGACATGACAGGTAAGCAAGTTAATCTGCTCAAAGATACTAGGGCCTCTTGCTCAGTCTTTACCATTTTCTCTGGAACTTTCCTCCCAATTTATAGATAGTAGGGATAGAAGAATTTTCCCACACACAGTATTTTATACTCCCAAATATCCTGTCAATTTATATAGTTGGAGAGAAGAAACACCCCAATTATACTATTTCATACCCCCTCCAGTATTCTGTCAATCTCAAGACCAGGTCAATTATACATTCCTGGCCACTTCTCAATGCCCTTAGTCCCTGTTGGGAAGGGACATATTGAGTCACCTAGGGACAATCGTGCAATTCAGTCATGAGAGCCCTAGCCTCTGAAGTTCCCTGGGGAATTCTAACAAAGGTGGACTCAGTTATTTGGGATTGCTTACCCAATAAAACCCATTTAAAGCCTGGAGGAAGTTATCCTAATGAAACACTAGGATCCATCAGGGGCAGGCTCTAAACTAGGATTATGACCTATCATTAAACTTTTTTATCAGTAAACATACCTTACTGGTCCCATGTAGGTCCCAATCCTCCTAGTAGTCAAGCCAAATAGGGAATTCCACAGGATGCAATCCTGACGCATCAGCGGGTGGTTAATCCCTATGCTCTACTACTCAAGTCCCTGAAGCTACTGAATGGCATATAATACAGGTTTTGGACTTAAAGGCCGCTTTTCTCTTTTCCTTTCTTTTGCATTCCTTTGCACCCTGACTCTGATACCTGTTTGCTTTAGAATGGGAGGATGCAGTCACTAGAATTCTCTGGCAGCACATGTGGAGAATCCTCTATCAGAGGTTTAGGAACCTCGTTTCCCAGGATGCTAGAAAAAGATCTTAAGGACCTAGTTTTTTCAGAAGGAGCCACCCTACAATAGGTAAATATTTTGATATAAAGCTCTACTGAGGAACATTTAGATCAAAATATCAGCGTCTTATGTGTCCTACTCTCTTGAGGCTAACATGTCTACACACACACACACACACACACACACACAGCTCAGGTAATCAGTAGGAAGTATACTATGTTGGATGCATGTTGGCTCTGGAAGCATGGCAATCCCCCTGCCTCCAATGACAGCAATAATTAAGCCAGTTCCACCAAAGACAAGTAGCTTTGACCCTTTAGGGAATGGCTGCATTTTTATCAAATCTGTATTTTAAATATGAATTGGGATGAAAGCTTCTACAAGGGGTTTTGGCTCTTAGCCCTTAACTGGGACAGCCAATTAGAACAATCCTTTCATCAGATAAAGTGGGCTCTGACAGAAGCCCCTGGCACCGGACATGACAGCTTTCTAAACGCTCTTCTTGTTATCTGTGGCAAAGCAGCGAGGCTTTGCTCTTCCGGTGTTGACTCAGTGCCTAAGGACAGCATGGGAGGCTATCGTGCTCCAAAGAAATCAGATGCAGCATCAGGGTGGCCCCTATCTCAGAGCTGAGACAGCCACCACAGTGCTTTTGGTTGAAGACATCTTAAGATATTTGGGGGGTAACCATTAAAAGCCCTAAAAGCCTACCAGGTAAAGGTCATAGTAATTAAAGGTAATGTAGTTAGCTGGAAATAGACAAATGAAACATCAGATAGTCCTCCTAGAAGCCCAGAAGGAACTGTTAAGATATGTGGTACTCTACATCTTGCCTCACTCACACCAGTGGAAACCTTTTTTAATCTGCTACACTGGGCACTAAGGCCATTTTCTCCACCTGTCCAGCTGGGCTGACTTCAGTGACCATGCCCTGGATCATCCAGAGGAGTATGGTTTGCGAAGGAAACAGTTATGTTCTACAAGGATAATGTGAGGCTCTGCTAGAGAGCAGTAACTCAATCTTTCTCATTACTCCCTTCTACCTTGGCCCCAAAGGCCAAACAAACAGCCCCAATGAGAGGACTCATTTTCAAAAACGGAAAAAAGATTAGTATCTACCATGATTTAAAGAATGCCTTCCTGGTCTATGTGCCATGCAAAGACTTCTGATATCCAACAACTCATCCATAATATATAAGTAAGAAATTCTAGGTCTACGAGACACATTCCAACTCTAAATATCTCCCTGTACAACTTCCGCACCATTTATATTAAAAAACAGAGCACTATACTGGGAACTGAAGAATGATGAGGACCCAGGCTATAAATCCTCTAGCCTAACTTTCCCTGTGTTCTGGAGCAGTAGGGTGTCTAAATATACTTACAGGAGACATTCTTCATACACAACATTATTAGTCAAGGGTACCGAGCACAAACCGTTTGCATAACTCTCTGAGGGTAAAGCTTTTGTTACCATTCAACCATGTTAAAGCCTCCCATGCCATTTTCTGCAATTCAGTCTTCTTATCTTTGTCACCAGCATGTGGTCCGTGAAGCTCCCCACAGTGGTTCCTCCTCTCCTCCAGTATGCACAGAAGATAATTTCCTTGGAAACCATCTCTCTTCTGGTGGGCCTCAGGGAACATAGGATCCCTCTGTCTCACCTCAGAACTTTAACATATCTGTATCTCATAAATATATTTGGATCCAAGAGTCAACTACTGCCGTAAGATTACATGGCACTGGACACTTTCTATGTGGAACAAGGGCATTTCTATCCTCTTCCAAGATGGTGAGGTTCCAATGTACTGTTGCAGCTGCCTTCCCAGATCTAATAAAGTGTACCCCTAATATTTCCCAACTTCTGGGTATCTTACCAACTTGCAAGTCTATTCTCCAGATCTTGCTGTTACACCCTCCTTTTAAAACAGATAAGAGAAAACAGAGTAATGGCCCTAGGGTTACCAATGATTCTTGAGTTTAGTGGCCTGAATACTGAGAATCCACTATTCCTGACTGATCAGGAATGAATAAGGGTACACCAAGGTTTATTCCCAGTTTCAGGAGTTTTAAGTTTAGAAACGTCAATCCAAAGCCTGTTCTTAGCACCACAACAAACATGGAAGGTCACTGTAGTTGCTACTGAGGCATGAGAAAGCTTTAACTCTCTTAAACATATGGTTCCACAGAACCGAATCACAGGTTCTAGAGAAAAGATCTCTTTACCTGATATGATTCAAGTGTCTTTTTCATTGTGGAAGTGTAAGAACCTGGAAGTTCCAGCTGCTGCCCTCTGGATGCAAATCCACACCTATCATGGTACTATTTGTTAAGTCCACCAAATCTCCAGTACCACTAGACAACAAGCTGAGAGACTAGTGACAGGTTTAGCTGTCCATAAATCAGGCTTGTAAGATGGCTTAGTGGTAGAGGTATGCTTGTTGCTGTTCCTGATGAGCTCAGTTTGATCTCCAGATCCCAATAGTGAAGAGCTGACTCCTGCAAATTGTCTTCCGTTCTCCACGTCCTCCACATATGTAACTTGCCGTGCACGTGCACACACATAGACATACACACACACACACACACACACACACACACACACACACACACACACACACACATACCATAAAGTGGATAAAATAAGAGGTCATTAAAGCCAAACCCTGTTTTCTTCCTCAACCTGTTCCAGAAGTAACATTTCATGTTTTGGGCAATCCTGCTCAATCGAAAGCACAGCATGTGGGGCTGAGGAAACGGCTCATTCAGTCAAGTGCTTGCCACACAAGCATGAGGACCAGAGTTTGATTCCTCGAGAACCCATGTGAAAAAAAAAAAACCCTGGGTGCAGCAGTGCACGCCGGTATTCCCAGCACTACGAAGTGGAGACAAGAGGATTCCCCAGGACACACTGGCCAGCCAGTCTAGCTGACAGGTTCAGAATGAGACCCTGTCTCAAAAATTAGGCTGGGATGTGATTGGGGAGGATATCCAATGTTGTTCTCTGGTCTCCAGGTACACATGCACACAACTGCACTCATGAAACCCAAGTACATGTGTGTATACACACACACACACACACACACACACACACACACACACAAAGAAAGAAAGAAAACAAAAAGTCAGCCTAAAGTACAGACTTTTGTCTGATTCCTACACCAAGTCTCCTGGAGAATCTTAACTTGTGCTCCTGGCACCAATAAATTCAGAAAACAGACAACACTCCTTCTCGCCTGAGTGGGTTTCTGATTACTCATCATCTCCTCTCAGTTTATTCTTACCTGCCGAGAGGCACCATCTTCAAACTCCTTCTGTCCAGTTCTCCCCTTCCTACAGCTGTGTTCCCATTCAGAAAAACACACAGACTGTAAAACCCAAGTTACCACCCAGAACAGCTTTCTGGTTTTGCTTTCTTACCTTCTCCTGGATTCCTTCATCATCACCAGCAAAGTACAAAATAGGGACATTGAGCTCTGAGGCAGCTACCCACTGCAGGACAGCTTGCAGCTGCTTGTTCTGAACAGTGTCAGCCAGATTGTGGTTGCTGACGATGACCTTGGGTATCTCGCATCCCTCGGGCGGCTGTCCTGACAAACCTCTCAGTTCGTTATGGATGGCTTGGTAGGCAGTCTGCAGGAGGGCTTCGGCTGTCCCCGTGCCCTTGACTGGTAAGCAGCATTCATATAAGTTATCTGGGAAGGCAGAACTTGGCCTGCTGGCATCCCCACACTTTTCATCTCCCAGCTCGGCCAAGGGAGAGTCACAAGATTTGGCAATAATGAGGCATAACTTCATCACAGAGTCCATGAGGTGTTCCACCATCTGCCCATTCATGCAGCCATCTAGCTGGTTGGCGACCATCTTGGTTAGTCCAGAAAAGGCACCATCAGTCTCCTCATCCTCACAGAATTTCGGCGCAGGAGGGGTCATAGGCCTTTCGCACATATTGATTTCTTCTTCCTTAACGTTCTGCCCCTTGGATTCACTTCGGTTACCCTTGAAGATGGTCTCACTGAGTAAGTTCCGGATAAAATTGAAGATGACACTCATCAGATCCTTCTTTTCTGTTTGTTCTTGGTCACATATCTTATGAGGAGACTTAAGTCTGGACTCATCGTGAACTACGGGCTGCTTGTTGGCGGGGAAGTTGGTGCTGGCAGCAGCTTCCAGGAAGCTCTGAGCATCCATCCTTCCTCCCTGGGCCAGGTGGTACTGAATCAGAAGCAGGGCTGACACAATCAGGTCCTTGGCCCAGGTGTCTGATTCACACATAAAATTTTCAAAAGTCTCTGGCTGCTGTGGAGGAGGGCTTAAGTCACAAGAGTCTGGAGACTCAAAGGAAACCTCTTGCTGATGAGGGCCACCCTGCTTTGCGGCACGATCGAGGCCAGGAGATTTACAATCGTCTTTTTGATGAGTTTTGTGCCACATGCTCAGTCCCTCCTTAATAATGTGCTCGCCCAGAGTTTCAGCACATGTCTTCTCTTTCTCTGGTTTGCATGCAGCAAACAAACTTTCTCTCAGTTTTGATTCTGATTTCATCGCAAAGTTCAGGTTTGGTTGCCTTGGGTCACCACCCCGTGATTTCATGGAGATAAGGGAATAGCTCTCAGACTTGTCCTTGGCTTTTCTGCTCTCAGGGAATTTCTTGGCAAACATCACATTGTACAGCTTACCCATCATGGCATCCATGATGTCTGTGGCCTTTTGGCTTCCATGAGAAAAAAGGCTTCGCTTCACGGCTGAGACAAAGTCTGTGTCAGTCATTAGGCTCCCTGTGACATTGTGGAGGTTCTTCATGAACGAGTCGATGAGATCAGAGACGACCTCTTTTGCATGCTTGATCAATACCTTCTTCAGCAGAATAGTGGCAATGGTTGTGTCTTTCACCTGGATCCTCAAGGTCTTCATGATGGAGACCATCATGTCAGATACCACACTGTTGGCATAGGTCATAATCCCTTGACTGACAGAGCTTGTAAAGTCATCAGTTCTGTCCTGGCCCCTGAATATCTTTCTTTCTCCAGGAAAGGACCTTCCACCGTCCTTGGCGTCCCCTGCATTCCGAGATTCAAATACTTCCTTATAGAAGAAAGACTTCTTAGACCCAGGCTTGTCATCTGGACACTTGCCATCCTTGGTGCTCTCCTTGATCTTCAAAGTGCTTTTGTATCTTAGACTAGGGCTCTGTCCTGACCCCAAGGCTCTGTCTCCAGAGCCTGGAGCTTTGTCACCAGTGATGTTCTTGGAACACGCAGAGACGGTCTCATTCACCAGCTCAGAGGCTACTGTACTCAAGCTTTTGTGGGGCGTGGGCTCATCCCCCATAAACAACGACTGATGGATACATTTGTTTTCAGAGCCATGGATCTTCTCATTGATCTCCTTCCGGGCCATGGCTATCACTAGGTTTGTGAGGCGGTTGGCATAGAAGGAAACTTCATCGATGGAATTCCCATTACCAGCTCGGACACAGGGGCCTTGGGAAGGGATCTCCTTGTGAGTCATCTCAAAATGCAATCTCCCTGGACTGCCCTTGTGGGTGGTATTGTAATAGTCGACACAGAAACCTTTGCGTTGGTCTCCCGGGACGGGCGCTTCCTCCATAATTGATGACTCTCCAGGCTTGAACCTCGAGTCCTGGAACCCTGCCGTACTTTTTTCCAGGTCTCTGCGGAGCCAGCTGAGCACTCGGACAGGATCTGTTGATGCATCCTGAAAAGTAGACATGGTTTCACCCAGTTGTAGCACAGCAAAGATATGAGGCGTTCAGGACAACCTTGAAGGCCAGCCTCCCAAGCTGGCTCCAGCATCACAATTTACTGTGCAGTCACTACACATTATCAGATGCTGAGGATTTGAGGGCTACCATCCCCTTTAAATTACCTTCACAGTAAACTCAAATGTTAATTCTCTTGCTTTCTTCATTTTACAAGGGGGAGAAAGAACTGAGAGATTAAGTTAGTGAGTCATTTGAAATTATAACATTAATTGGTGATGAAGCTGGAATTCCAATCAGGCCATCAGCTCCTACATCATGTTGCTTCTACTGCGGCAAACCAGCAAGATCCTGATGACCATGGGGAGTTGCTATCTGAACTGAGCTGGCACTGATGCTCATCACTGCCTTCTCAGATCTATCTGTTGGGTTGTTATTGTCATTTCTTTTTCTTTTTTGAGACAGAGTTTCTCTGTGTAGCCCTGACTATCCTCAAACTCAGAGATCTGCTCATCTCTCCCTCCTGTGCCACCCTCATCCAGATATGTTGTTTTTAAATTTATGTCTTTTATTAAAAGTACAGTTTTAGAAAAAGGGGAAAATTGTACCTAATTATTTGATACAGCAAAATCTTGACATGCTATGTGGCTTCCCATGACTAATTGATATTAATGAATTAATTTATAATTGGGGATTAATAACTGTGGGTGATTAGTTTTTTGCAGTTAGACTCTGATGGATGTGAGCTGTGATGAGCGCGTGTGCGCCAGCGCGCGCGCGCACACACACACAGTTATATATTTACTCTGTATCTGTATGTGGCAAAAACTTTAAACCTGAACATAGTACCATGTACATATTTATGCTTTCTTTCCTATCAAATGTAAAGAATTTTGTCAATCTAAGAATGACTACAAATATGGCCATTTTAAAAAGAATAATGCTTGGTTATAAAATTGCTAATATATCTTCAAACTACTAGTTTATTATGAAAGTAAAAGTTACTAGCTACTGGGCTAGGGGGATGGCTCAGTGTTCAGAGCACTTGCTGCTCTTTCAGAGGACCTGGCTTTGATTCTCAGCACCCATGATGGTCACAATTGTCTGTAACTCTGGTTCCAGGGACTCTGACACCCTCTTCTGGCCTCTACAGGCACCAGGCATGTGCTAGGCACACAGACAAAACACCTGTACCCATAAAATAAAATGACATGAAATAAAACATAAAGTACTTAAAAGTTACTGGCTACTATTTGTTCCATAGCAGTAATTTAAAAAAGTTTTCTTAATTATTATTATTATTATTATTATTATTATTATTATTATTATTTTGTGTGTGTGTGTATATACATGCACGTGGGTGCTTGCAGAGGCCAGAAGAGGTGTCAGACCTAAGTGTGCTCAGGCCTGCTGCAGACTGTTTTTCAGACTTGACTTCTTCATCTCATGATGGCAAATAATAGAGAGGGGCCTTTTCAAGTCCACCCCGAGCTTCCTCAGAACTCCCAGCAAAGCCAATGCCATGAGGCAGTCAGGCCAACACAGATGTGATCAGCCTCCTGTTGTAATCAGCACAATTCTTCTTGGAGGTTGTTATTATATTTTATCCAAGTGGAATGGAAGAGACTTGCAGAAAAAAAACTTGTGCTTTATTATAAAACTATAGATTTGTCTATCATCTATGTCCAAATGCAACGTATTCTCTACACTATATATGCTACCTGGTTCTGCTTCTGGGGATGCTCTTTAGAACTCTCTAGGCTGCATGTACTGATGGAAACACAAAATCACCTGAGTTGCCTTGGAGACCAAGCACTCCGCTTTCTCTTCTGTCAAGAGTGTGCTGGTCCTGCAGCCCCCCTCTTCTTACTCAATAGTATCCTGAGCTGTGTGCCAGGAGAGTGCCAAACCACTCTTTCCCCTTTTCAAAACCAAGACAGTTTCATGCCCATGAAGGAGTGAGCGCACAGAAAAGTGAATGGGCTCAGTTTCTCCCTTGGTCATGGTCTGCTTCAGTAGCTTAGTTTATGCTAACTAACTCCCCAGCCCTGCTTTTCCTTTCCGTGTCTAGCTCGTTAAAGATACCTAACCCAATTGTTTTCCATCTCCACCTTCGGAGTGCTGGAGTCACAAGGCATGTCACCGTGTCCTGCTTGCAGTGACCCATTATTTAAACTCTAACAACTACTGTTCGGAAAATTACTTAGCAAATGACCGTAAACTGCTTTTTTTTTTAAATTAATGTCCAATGGTTATTTACATAACTTCAAATGCCAGATTGATATAAAATTATACTTACATCTTAAATTATATTTAAACTTTACATTATAATTATATTTCCCCATGAGTGGTAAGGTTCACCATGGCAGAATTTAGTTTTGTTTTTGGATCTCCTAGGGTACTTCTTGCTTAGTGAAAGGTGTTGGGGTTTTGTTTGTCTTGTTTAACTGAATCTGATTTGTATTTTGTTTCTCTACATAAAAGGGCAGAGGTGGATAAAATATCCAACACAGGCAGTTTGGGGGTCTTTGGCAATTTGATATGAGTGTCTGTATGTCTTATGAATATTTCTCAGGGTTTTTGGCTCCTATTGATAAGAAAATATTTTTGGTATAAAAAGAAGATGGGTCACATGACATTACATGCAAATATGTATTGGGCAAATGTTAGTATTCTGAGCAAGGATACAATGATGTATGCATTGGATTAAGTCATCTTTAATTTTACAGTGTGTGTGTGTGTGTGTGTGTGTGTGTGTTACAGTGTGTGTGTGTGTGTGTGTGT